TCAGCCTGAGGCTTATTCATTTCACTTTTGGTGTGAAAAGGCTTTTATATTTGCCAAAAATATAACTTTTTTTTATATTAAAAACAAACAAGCAAGCCCTGCCCAGATTTAAAAAGTAACTTAAAAGTAACGTAACACATTACTTTCCATAAAAAGTAACGTAAGTAACTTAATTAGTTACTTTTTTAGGGAGTAACGCAATATTGTAATGCATTACTTTTAAAAGTAACTTTCCCCAACACTGTTGACTGAATAATCCAGCGGTTCTCAATCGTGTTCCTGGAGAGCAGCCCAAACACGGCCCGTCTGCTCGATCACACACACCTGACTCGGTCGTCAGCTCGTTACACACTCCAGGCCTGACGTGTGTGTGTCGGTGGAGCTCCAGGAACACGGCTGAGAAGCGCTGATGAAGCGCATGCGGCGACTCACGTAAATGATGTGCGTATCGCAGGTGGAAGACGTCGCAGCCGTGGACGTGATGGTAGAGAGTCTTCTCAATCAAATCCTGCGGCTCGTAACCCGTTAACTCGGCCACCCTGACACACAAACAAGACTGCATTTACCCTCCTGTAACACACACACTCGTTCAGCAATGTTTTCATTCACTGCTCCTCGCTGTTGAAATGATCTTCTGAACCTCATGCTATCTGGACCATTTTCAAGAAACGTTTGAGCACTGAACTACACTCCACTCAGAAATATCATCATCTGTGCTTTCATATCCTGGTTTAGCTCGTACTAATCTGGACGATGTTTGAAATTGAGATTTGAACATGAGATTTTTCTTCAAAAGTGTTAATTCACAGAATTAAATCAGAACATAATGTCTTAAATTAATAGAACTGTGGCATTAAATGTTGCATGAACTGCAAAAAATATATATCTCAGTATTTTTGTCTTGTACAGTACAAATATCTAAACATCCTTAAATCAAGACCCATTCACTGGAGACGCAATCAAGAACAAATATCTGAATTTAAAAAAGTAATGGAGATCTGTTGTAAGCTGTATTTTTTCTAACTTTAAGACATTCGCATTAAGAGACCGTACTGACAATATTGTGTTCTTTTCATTTTAGTCTTTAAATTTTCTTTACTTGCTCGGAAAAAGTCTTAAATTTGCCTTGGTGAAGCCTGCAGAACCCCTGGTCACACTGAGCACATTGCATTGTGGGATACAGTAGTGTGTTGGAGTGAAGCTCACCTGCTGTCCAGGAAGATGAGTTTGAGGTCCAGACTGGCGCGGAACATGAACATGTTGCTGTGGAGTTTGATCTCGGTGACGCTGCTGGGAGGAAGAGACTGACCGACCGCCAGCAGCCCCATGATCTGATAGCAGGACTCAAACAGAGACACGTCCATCAGCAGCTGACGGAGCTTCAGATAACCGCTGCAGTGGATCACCTGCACACAGCACACGCTTCAGACTCCGCTCTCGCCATCTGGAGAGCAGCTCCAGCCCAGAGACAGTGTGTGTGTGTGTGTGTGTGTGTGTGTGTGTG